AATTCCTAAATGTTGCATGCGGAAGAACCAAGTCCTGAAGTTGGAGTTTTATCCTCATCTTCAACTTCATCATCATGCTCCTCTCCTTCGCAGGCACTAATCTACTGGAAGAATGAGTCTTAAATCCTGAAAAGAGCTACTGTATGCCTAGTCATTCAGTCAAATTATGGAGGAAGAAGAAGAAGAAGAAGAAGAAGAAGAAGAAGTTATTATCTTTGAGGCTTATTGCACCACATTCTAGAAGAATCTTGAACGTAAAATATGTAGTCCTACTATTGATGAAAAAGAAGGAATTAATTCCACATAGGTAATTTCTGTTGTGACTAAAATATTATTTTATTTTTTCAACAATGCGGCTGAAACTAATATTGGTCCCTATTCTCCTTAGATATTCTGTGGTTCATTGAGTCTCAACACTTGTGTTAATAATGAAGTAGAAGAAGGGCAATATGTGGCATAAGAAATGAAAGAGAATGATGCGATTCAAGTAACAAAACAACAAGAAAATGGAGAGAAAGAACATCTAGAATCTGAACCAGATGAAGGAAAATAGGTAAATCAAGAAAACAACATTAATGAAGACGAAGAAGAAGACATAAATAAAGTAAGAAAAAATAGAGAAAGAAGAGAATCAGGAGGAGCAAAAAGAAGAATTAGAGCAAGTGAGTGAAAGAGATAAACAAGAAGCAACAATGGATAAAATAAGAGAAGGCGAAGATCAAAACTAAAGAGGAAAAAGAAAACGTCCAATGTCTAAACAAAACGAGTTGAATTGAAGTGAGTAAATTTTCTAGAACTGAATAAGAAGGGCAAGTGGATGAGGACTCTCAAGGTGAAAATGCATGAGACATAAAACATAATGTCAATCAAGATTCTCATCAATAAAAAGAAAGTGGTGAGAAATGAAAAAATGAAGGCAAAGAGGAGGACCGTCAAACATACCTGAAGGAGATCAATATCTAGATGTTTAATTTCATGATCAGTTAAACAACAAAGATCAATACGATGATGAAGATCATCAGGATTTGATAACTTTAAAGTATATATGGCAAACTACATAATCACATTATGCTTTCAATTTCTAACTTGAAAATCTTTGGAGAGGATTTAACAAATAAGATCATATCATTAGAGGTTAATTTCAATACAATTAGGAGAGAGTTAAACGAGGATAATGGCCCGTCCTATTGATCGATAAATTTTTCACTTGTCTATACAATTATGAGAAGACCATATTGGTAATGTTAAAAAAAACCAGGAACTCCATGGTCTGAATACAGAGGAATACAGCAATGAAGAAGAAAAGGAGGAACAAACTAGGGCTACTTATCGGGCGGATTGTTACGCTTAACGGTTCGTCTTATCGGTTATCGTCTCGTAAATGTACTAATCCGCTAGCCAAACCGATAAGATATCGGGCAAATTGATATCGGTTTCGCGATTATCGGGCGGTTATCGGACGATTTATTGGCTAAATTAAATAGTAATGAGTGCGTGTACCACTTGACATTAAATCACCAAATTTAAATCTTAAATTCAACCCGTTTATATAACACTGTCATGCCCGCATTTCCAGAAGTCACTAACTGAAAATTTATGTTTTCTCCTTAGAAGAACTAGTTAAAATGGATATAGCCATATACTAAATTAGTGTTGTATATGGCTCTTTCCTTTCTGCTATTGCATCAAGCCATATAGCCATATGAAAGTGCATTTTCACACAACTGGCAGAAGTCACAAGAATTTAAAAGTGAATTTTCAATAGTCTAATACCACTAAGTTAGTATCTGTGATAAAACAATAATAGTTAATATCTTAGTGAACCTTCTGAACTTGAATAGTAACTGTTACTTTGTCAAATAATGAAAGGAATATTTAATATACATAGGGGTAAAAATACAAATCTAAATTTTTTTAACGGGTTAACGGTTTATCCATTAAGAAAATTGAATAATCCACCCTCAAACTGATAAGTCGTTAATTATAAAATTTTAATCCGTTCACCAATCGTTAATCCGATAACCCGATATAATAAGCCATTAAGCCAAGTTTGCGATTCGATTTTCGGTTACAGTTCGATTTTAAACGGCCCTAGAATAAACAGACACAGAGGAAGAGGAAGACAAAGAAGAAGAAACAGAGAAAGAAACGGAAACAAAGGAAGAGGAAGAAGAAGAATCACATGAAGTGGACCAAGGAGAAAATCAACAATAGTCCAATTATGATGATTATACTTTGCAAGTTGTAGTTCACAACACTAATCTGTTGTAAGAGCTGCAATATAAAAATGAGGCAGGGGTAACTGAATGGGGAGGCTAGTAAAGTCTTTTTTTAGACCCCAAAATATTGAGGCACAATTTTTTTATAGTGAATTTTATTATTTTATTTTCGCTTAGACCAGTATTATATATATATAATTCATAAAGACTGCCTACTTACTAACGTGCGAAATATTTTCAATTTTAAGCTAAACTATTCAAATTTTCATATTAGTAACTGAAGTTTTTTACAACAAGATCCAAAATAATATATTGCAAATACATGACTAACATCTTATTAATTAAAATTAACTATTTTATGTCTTGTAAGTATGTATGGCCGTTATAACTTGGTTGGTTTTGTGCTATATCTAGTGGGGGGCACAATTAGCTACTTTCTAGACTTATATCCCTCAAGAGATTAAACCATTTAGGATCAAACTTTTAGTTGTATTTTCGAGTTTCTAGTTAATAACTTTTAGATAGAAAATTATATCCAAGCTCATGTTAGTGAATAAAAAAGTTTGCATATTAAAGTTATTGCTTCTATGTGGACCTCTCATTGTATCATGAAGTTTGTATCAAATGTTCAAAAACGAAAGACCAAATACATAGACAACCACTTAAAGTTATCGCGATTTTTTATTTAGACGCTTTAACTAGTTCTATTACCTATTGGACATTCAAACTACTATGAAAGTGCATCTATTGAACACAAAACGTCCAGTCCTAAAATTAAATAAGCATGAAGTTTAATCGCTGCTTATCTGGCAATATAACAATGAAAAAAAATTACATCATTAATAATACACCTCAACATTTACTAATTCACCCCCAACCAGACCCACCACCTTCCCCTCCTTTACCTCCCTCTTCACTAGTTCATCTCCATAATCACCCTGAGCTGCAAATTTCGCTTTCCCTACCTCTTAGAACCTCTTCAAGTTAATTTGTTGAACTTTCAAATCAAGAAAATAAGAAATCAGCCAAGCACAAATTTTGCACAGAAGATCATACCCAACCTAACATAGGGAGACAACCTTCATTTTTGGTTCCTCAAAAAATAACCTTTTTGGGTTCCGACTTTCATCTTTAAATTTTGATCGAAAGAAATTGAATTTTTTCTATATTAACTGGATTACAAGAATACTTTAGATGCCTACCTCTTTGTTGAGGAATTTTTCTATGAAAATTCAAAAGCTACCCATTTTATATCTGTTTTATGATGTTTTGCGGATGATACTTGGATTAAACTAAATAATCAATTGCAAATTACGGTTAACGCCAGATGAGCTTGTCACGATTCTTGAGAATGCGAGAAAAAGAGGACATGGGCCACATGGCTTCTTACTGATTTCAATCTCTCAAAAAGAATGCATGTTGCGAATCAACCATAAAATTTTAGTTTCTTTGTTTATGCTAATTAGAATATGATCTTCTAAATTTTGGGCTTATATCTGTGAGGTGGAAGGGTGAACTAATTATTACTGAGAATGGGATAAATCTTTAAGAAATGAGGAAAATAAATTAGGAAAGAAAAACAGTAAACGAAGAGAGATGTGGTGACAGAGAAGGTGGAAGAGAAAGAAGAAGATGGAGAAAAAAAAGTTACATATAAGTTAATCACGCACTCACCTGTAAGTAAAAGTTACTAAATGTGTCATATCTGCATGAGTTGTTCAATTGGCACAATATTGACATACTTTAGGTATCTAATAGGTAACAACTTTAGTTTGGTGTCTAAAGAAAAAATCGTGACAACTTTAAGGGGCTGATTATGTATTTAGCCAAAACGAAAAATAGGACGTTTAATACCTACCATACACGTTTGTTTCCTCTTTCGACTAGTAGAAAATATTATGCTAGTTGTCTATATCTACATTATTTGCTTTGAAGACTATATAAATATGTTTATATGTATACATACATGTTTTAGATAAAAATTTACTATTTTGTTTGTGGTATAATTCTTTGCCTTTATAGCAATCTATTAGTTCTTTGTATTTTGATTTGTAGTATTTGTTTATTTTGATAAGATCAAAAATCTACTTTATAATTTTAATTGAATCCTTAAATTGTTCATCACTACTTAATTAAATTATCGTCAAGTATTTTGGTAAATACAAGATTTTTTAAAGAGTAATTGACGTAATCATGTTATGTTGGAATATAGTCGCGATGGAACATATGTGGTTGGCAGTGTATGTTACATATTTAAAAAAATAACAAACAAGAAAAATGCAAAAATCAATAAAAAACAACAAAAATCAAACCCGATGTAAAACCATCTTAGATGGTTTAATTCGATTCCAAAATTTAAAAGATCAAATTAATTGATTTAGTTTACTTTTAATAGAATAGAACTACTTAAACCGAACCATAAACACCCCTAAAATCAAAATTTCTATATCCGAAAAGTTATTACCAAAACTTACCAACTTGAAGAATATATAAATATTCTTTTTGTCTATCTTTTCTTGGACATCCATAGTTCATGCACGTCCCCACATCAACATATAATGTACCAGACCGTATTCTATCAGTACCCTCGCACGGGTATCCACGTCAGCATAAGTACCCGGATCCGTATTCGTACTGTACCCTCGTGTACGGGTCTCCACGTGGAGAGCTCACATACAGCAATCTCATATGGGTCGGGTCTACCCATATCCGAACCCGTACGGGTCTTCCTCGACTCCCTCGCTTCATAATTTTTTCACCCGCGAGAAGAAAAAACCAAACAAAATAAACAACAAACCAAAAATCAAAGCTAAATAATTCATTTTTTTTCTTAGAATCTCTCTCTCAACTCGGCGAGCATTTCAACAGTTTACTAAGTAAAAACTGAGAACAGATTTTCCGGTCGGCGAAGATGGCCGGCGGTCAGAGAAGTTACACGGCGAATCCGGAGGATTACAAGCTTCTAGAAGAAGTTGGATACGGAGCAAGTGCAACTGTCTACAGAGCGATCTATGTACCTTTGAATGAAGTTGTGGCAGTGAAGTGCTTGGATCTCGATCGTTGCAATAGCAATCTGGTAGGTCCATTATCCACTGAGTTTCAAAGCTGGAAATAACCATTTTTACTGTTATTAAAATAGAATGTGGAATTGAGTTTGAATGTGATTTGACTCCTAGGTCGATGTAGTTCTTTATAGCAGGTACAAGTACAACTGAATCCATTGTTGTCGCTCGGATCATGTATCAGTTGAGTTTCGAACTAGAAAAGTCGATTTTGTGGTTACTAAAAAAGTAGGTGTGTAGCTGTTTTTTGTTGTTTAAATGCGACTTAAATTGATTTGACTCTGAGGTGGATGTAGTTCTTTATATTAGGTACAAGTTGCCTTTGGCTCGAGAATGTATGGATATGTTAAGTGAAGAATGGTAGAGAGGAAAGTCATTATTCACAGAATTTCAAAGTTGGAAAAAATAGATTTTGTGGTTGTTGAAATAAAGTAGGTGTCTTTAAGTTGTTTATTAAGAGTGTGCAATTGAGTTTGAATGTGACTTGACTTGATTTGACTTTGAGGTGGATGTAGTTCTTTACAGCTAGTACAAGTACAACTGAACTCACCGTTTTTGGCTTGGATCATATATGCATATCTGTAAAAGGAATTTTTGTCTTTAAGGAAGGTCCATTACCAACTAAGTTTTGAAGCTGGAAAAAAAGAAAGAAAGTAATAGGCGTATTTATGTTGTTTAAAGAATGTGGAATTGAGCTTAATGTGATTTGGCTCCTAGGTGGATGTAGTTCTTTTACAGAAAGTACAAGACAACTCATCCACTGTTTTTGGCTCAGATCATGTATTATATCCGGAAAAGGAATTTTTGTATTTTAGGCAGGTCCATTATCAATTGAGTTTCAAAGCTGTGGAACGTAAATTTTACGGTTATTAATTTTTTTTTAAAAAGTAATAGGTGTATTTATGCTGTTTTAAGAATGTGAAATTGTGTTTCCTTATAAAAGAAGAAATAAGAGTTGTATGAAACTTTGTTCTTTTTCATTTAGGGGAGGTGAGGACTAGAAATTTTCAGTGTTGAGTTGTGGTTTTTTTCTTAGCTTTGGCTCAAAAACGGGGTCGACTTTGTAGTGTGTACTCCTTGTAGTTTGCAAGCGACTAATGTAACACGCTTCATTTCCTAATAGCTCCAAGTGATAACTGTGAGCTAAATCATGAGTTTTCTGCCGGCGGTAGTTCTCGTATTAACTTGGTATGCTGACGTAGATATGCTCTCGAAACAGTATGCATATATAAGATGCATCATGACCACAGTTCTGGGACAAAGTTTGATTTGGTTACAAAAGCTTATAAAATATAGCTAATTTAATTAGCTCAATATCTGAATTGGTTGGAGCTGCTAATATGTGCAGGTTTGGATGTTATCTCTTCTTCCTTTTGGATTGTATTAGCATTTGGAAGATTCAGGTTTACTAGGCCTATCTGAGTATCATTAATCTTAGTCTCCAATAATCTCTTCGAGGGCACTCTGGAAAGACCAGATAATAATCTTCAATGTATCATCGAAACCTGTTATGTAATAACAACTCAGTTTTTTCCCCCGGTAAAGATGTCTTAGGCAAAATAAGCTCTTTGGGATTAGCACTTTTGTTTTTGTCTTTTGGGCGGGAATCTTCAAGCTCTAGAGAAGTTAACTATAGAATGGTGTCAGCAATAAAGAATCCCTTGCTATAACCAGCCTTAGACAAGTGTCAAAGAAGGTACTGCTAAATGTAACTATGCTCTTCTATGCTAGGTTTTTCCAAGTGCCGACCCAAGACTTGATATGCTTTATTTTGCTGGTGACAGTAGTTCATGACAGAATCTTGAAATTAATAAACTGGTACCTTTGGATAATACCTGCGGCTGCATAACCTGCACTTTTTCATATATTTTAAAGTTTCCAACATGCTAAATCCATTTACATCTTCAGTTTCACAAGATTTTAACATGAATACTTGAACCTCTTTATGATCAATTGCTAGTTTTGTGAAGTATCGGTTCTATCTACTCTCCTTTGATGTTCACATTTTGGACTCTTATTTATACTCAAATATTTAACTACAGTTGAACGTCCTCCCTGTCACACTTCAAGCTATTGCTTGGTACGAAAGTGCAAATAAGGGTATGCCTTTGTTACACTTGGGACAACAGCTTCTTACAAAATTCCAGTTGGTTGTGTCATTGTTTATATGTATGCATTGACAGATAATTACCTGACCCACGATTTCTCTTTTCTTTTTTGTGATTTTGGTTGGGGAGGGTTGGTTATGTGCGGGAATAGTCGTCCGTTTATGCAAAATATTGGAGGTGTTGGTTACTCTCCCTAGTTAGACAATGCTTTCAAATCTCTATCCTAAAGGCAGAATTTCGAAACTAACTCCATCTGGGATAAATAACTCCTTAAATGCATTATCTTAAATGTTAAAAGAAGCTAGCCAATTGCAACTTCTACTTACAACTGCAGATGAATTTTTTTAACAAGACTGGTTTGATGTATTCTGTCATTGAGATATTTCCTGTCGATCTTGTTAAGCAAGAGGTAGCTTGATATATGTGGTATTTAATTTAGAACTTTTTCATTCCATGTCATAACTAAAGCGTATTAGCTGCAGAATGAATAAAGAAGCTATCTTTATTAATGAGTAAGGAGCTCTTTATATAGAGCAGAGAAAGATACAGAAGAATCTACGTAAAGATACACAAGGATAAGAGATATAAACCTAACAGACTCCTAAAATATAGGTTAACTGAAGGATACAAAAAGATACATATAAACTAGTTCAAAATCTCCTATGTTTACAGGACACCAGTCAAGAGTCTTTTACGCGCCCCCGCAAGGTGGGGCTTATGTCAACAAGACCCAACTTGGGATAAATACGTAGAAATGCAGAACAGGGCAGCGGCTTCGTAAAAATATCTGCAACTTGATCCGCAGAATGAAGATGATGGACCTCGAGAACCTTAGACTGGACAAGCTGACGAACAAAGTGAAAGTCGATCTCAACAGTTTCATACGGCTATGAAAAGCTGGATTGGAACAAATGTTTTTTTTTTTTTGATGAAATAAGATTCTTCATTGCAGGCATCCAGAAGATGCAAAGTTACAAGAAGGAATTGAGTTAGCTCCATTACAAAGACTTAATCTGCTTAGGGAGCTAACTCAAAAACAAAAGTAAGGATATAACTGAGTTAAGCTAGACTCAGAGATCCAATGAAATCTAGAAGAGGAATTACATTATTTACAGGTGTTAGAGAACTCCAACTAAATAATTGCACAAGGTATTTGGCTTTGATAGCGTGTATAGAAGTTGAAATGCCATCAAAGCATCTGCAATTCCTTTCTTGCCAAATGCACCAAAAAATGCATGCTGGGATCATCTTCCAGACTTTTTTGATGGCCCTTTCAACTTTCCAGCTGCTCCAACCTTCCACTGCTTCCCTGATGCCCTGTGGTTGTGTCCAGCTTATTCCCAGGATAGAAAGAAACACACACCACATATTTGTTGCCATTGGACAATGTAAGAATATGTGGTTGATTGACTCAGAACTTTGCTGACATAGGTAGCATCTATTTACCAGCTGAAAACTCCTTTTGCAGAGATTGTCTTGAGTTAGGCAGGCTTCTTTGCGTGCAGTCCAAGTAAAGCAGATAACCTTTGTTGGAAGCTTTGTCTTCCAGATGAGCTTCCATGGCCACGAGTCAATGTTTCCATTATGCTCACATATGTGTCTGTAGCCCATCTTCACTGAATATGGACTTGAGTCACAACCAACTCATTTGATTCTGTCTGCTCATTCATAGTGAAGGTTCCCAGTCTACCAAGCAATGTAAACAAATTACCTAACTCCCAGTCATGCATATTCCTTCTGAAAAGTGGGACCCATGAGTTTCTTGATCTGTATTGATTTATTGTAGAGTTGGGATCACTAACAATCTGAAACAGTAGTGGAAAGCTCTCTTCCAGTGGGAGACTGTCCAACCAGATATCTTTCCAGAATCTAACATGTAACCCATTACCCACCTTGAATGAAATATTCTGTGAAAAATCCTCCCAAAGGCTACTGATGTATTTCCATGGGCCAACACCATGGGGAGACCTGCTGAGTTTAGTACACCAGTGATTTTGTAGTCCATGTTTAGCAGTCACCACCTTCTTCCATAGGCTGGCGTCTTACTCCCCGAATCTCCCAAGCCATTTCATTAGCATGCTCTTGTTGTGTTTTGCCAAGTCTTTTATTCCAAGTCCACAAAAGTCCTTTGGTTGAGTTACTTTGGCCCATTTGACCAGGTGAAACTTGTAACCCTCACTGTTCCCTTTCCAGAGAAAATTCCTTCTAAGTTTGTCCAATTGTTTGAGCACTTTGCTGGGCATAGGATATAGTGACATGTAATAGGTTGGTATGCTGTCCATTACACTACTAATCAAGGTTACCCTGCCTCCCATTGATAGATATTGCAGCTGCCATGTTACCAATCTCTTCTCCACCTTCTCTATCACACCATTCCACACTGCAGTAGACTTGTACTTAGCTCCCAATGGAAGGCCCAGGTATGTTGCGGGGAAGGAACCAATACCACAACAAAGAATATCGCTAGATCTCCCAAGTCAGGAACTTCATTAACAGGGTAGATAATGCTTTTTGCCATGTTGATATGAAGTCCAGAGATAGCTTCAAAAATGAGCAGAGTTAGATTAAGATATTGAATTTGGTAGCAGATGGATCAGGTGGATAAAATATAGCTTGACCACAATCAAGTATTCGATTCTCATCAACAGAAGTCCAGTCGGCTTTTTTTCACCTCAAAAAGGATTACGGCAGGGTGATACCTTGTCTCCTTTCTTGTTTATCCTAGCTATGGAGGGTCTTAGCAAGATGTTGGACAAATCAAAGCAGCTACAGTGGCTAGATGGTTTCAGTGTTGGGAGACCTCAAAGGAATGCAGTCTCAGTCTCACACCTGCTCTATATGGATTGGAACAAATGTAAGTAGTGCTTATGTTGTCACAGAGAACTCGAGGAGGACATGACAGCGGGAAGCGAAGTTCACGAAGCAAGTTGATGAGCCAAACAACTTCAACTATATTCTGCCTCAGTAGACGACCGAGAAACAGAGCGTTGCTTTTTAGAAGACCATGAGATGGGAGAATCACCAAGATATACAATATACCCCGTGATAGAAGTACAATCAAGTGGGTCACCAGCCCAATCCGAATCAGAATAGGCAACCAATTGACAGCAGATTTTTTAGCAAGCTTAATACCAATATAAGCAGTATGACAAAGATATCTCAAAAGACACTTAATAGCTTTCCAATGTGAAACACCCGGTTGATGCATAAATTGAGATAATTTACTTACTGCAAAGGCAATGTCAGGCCGAGTGAAGGACAGGTAATGAAGCTTTCCAATGACTCGACGATAAAGAGTGCCATCTACTTTGGAATCCTCAGGAGAAGTTTCAAAGGTACATGTAGATGTCATGGGTGTGAGAACACCTTTGCATTCAGCCATGTTTACATCTTGGAGAAGATCTTTGATATACTTATGCTGAGATAGGAGTAAACCATTTGTTGTGTGTGTAACCACAACACCGAGAAAATAATGAAGCAACCCAAGATCTTTAAGAGAGAACCTTGAAGACAGAGCATTAATTATGGACTTCACTACCTGTGGCTGGTTACCATATGCGTGGAAATTGGAGATGGCAATTCAAAGCTTGCACTTAAAGGAGATATATCACTATGTTCCTTTTTAATATCTTTAACTAATATATCCCATGCTGGGAGTTTATTAGTATCCTTATATTGTTGGAAAATATTTGCAAAGGGATAATTATTTTCCAAAAATACGACATCTTGGGAAAGATATATTTTGGAGGTGACATGATCAAAACATTGATGAGAATAATACTTCTTCGAAAAACCTAAATAAACACATGGTTTTGACTTTTGTTCTATTTTATTTTTGGCATATGGTCTAAGCCATGGATAGCATAAACAACCAAAAATTTTAATAGACTCATAATTTGGTGCTTCTTTAAATAAGATTTCATACGGGCACCGATTATTTAAAAGTGGTGTAGTGAGTCTATTTATTAGATATACAGCTTGATGACAAGCAAAACTCCAAAATTTAGAGGGTAGCGAGGCTTGGTGTAGAAGTGTTTTTGCAGTTTCAATAACATGCCGATGACGACATTCTACCAAGGCAACTCGTTGTGAAGTGTATGGTGGGGAAACCAAGTGTTCAATATCCTGTGATTTTAAATAGGAAGTTAAGCTTTGACCTCCATCAGTGTAAAAAGAGGAAATTTTTGTTTGAAAACGTCTTTCTAAGAGTGGATGTAGTGTTTTAAAGACTTCCAAAACTTCCTGTTTAGATTTTAAGGTGTATAGCCACATATATTTTAAAAAGTGATCCACAAATAGAATATAATATCGTTTTTGATCAATGGATAAATTTGGTGCAGGCCCCCACAAATCACTGTAAATTGTTTGGAGGGGTCGTCGATTCTTCAAAGAATTAACTGAAAAAGGTAATCTGTGGCCTTTATTAGAATTGCAGGAATTATAATCAGAACTTATTCTGGAAGAACTAACAGGAATTGATAATTTATGCAAAATATTGTTTAAAGTGCGACGATTTGGATGACCCAAATGCCGGTGCCATAGTTTGATTGGAACAACCACATTGCACTTAGGATTGCTATCTGGTGTCCACGCATACAATTGCCCGTTACTCTGCCCTTGAGCTAGCGGCGCCCCGTACTCAGATCCTTCACAAGATAAAAGAGGAAAAAATTCCATGGAGGTGTTATTGTCAGGACAAAATTGAGAGACAGATATGAGATTATTTTTTATAGGAGAGAAAAGAGTATTAGATAGGGTAAAGCGATAATTTGATGCTTTTAGTTCAGCGTTACCAGTTTGGGAGATTGGTATGGTGGTACCATTACCCATAGTGATTTACTCAGGCCCGTGGTAGTCTAGTCTTGAGCAGTTGCTAGGCTTTGAGCATCAGAGGCAATGTGATGGGTGGCCCCTGTGTCGATGATCCATGGTGCTTGTTGTTGTAGTTAACGTCCAGCAAAGTTGGCTCTAGCCTGAAAATGATTGTGGGACTGGCTGCGACAGACTCGGGCAGAGTGACCAGGACGATCACATAGTTGACAAACCAAATTGTTATCTGCTGAGCAGAGCTCTTTCGAGACTTCCATGGTTGGCCTCGATTGGGTTGATTGTTGTTTGCTGTATTGGTACGCCTATTGTTGGTGTTGTTTCGAGATTGTGCAGTAGAGCGTTGCGCGACAGCAGCAGTAATGGAATTTGAGAGAGAAGCGCGAGTATCATGATGTTTCAGGAAGAGTTCATGATCAAGTAACTTCTCATACAACTCTTCATATGAGATGGTAGTATCTCGTGCCCGAATAGCTGCTGAAAATTCTTTGAATTCAGATCCAAGACCAGTGAGGATCTTCACAATAAGCTCCTCGTTGGAAACAGGAGCACCAGCTGTAGCAAGTTCATCATAAAGAGTGCGAATTTGATGCATATAGTCAGTGACAGGCAGATCATCCTGTGCAAGACGAGCTAAGCGATCACGTAGACTGAAAATGCGCGTTTGGGATTTATTTGCATACGCTATGTGAAGCGCATCCCAAGCAACCTTTGAAGAGTTGGCTGAAGCAACAGATGCAACAAGGGTAGGATCAACTGAAGCCAGGATGGCGTTTTGAATTAGTTGATCCTGGCAAAACCAGGTTAGGTACGTAGGGTTGGTAATTGTTTCGTTGCTCGAGGAGATAGTTCGGCTAGAAGCAGGGGTAGTTCTATCAAGATGGCCATACAGATCGTGCCCACGCATAAGCATCGACTTCCAAAGGGAAAAATTGTGACTACCTGCAAGCTTAATGGGAAGTTGTGTGACAGGGTTAAACTGAACAACAGTGTTGTTCGTCGCATCAGAGTTGACAACAGTAGGAGCCATTTGAGTAGGGTAGGGATGGGAAAAGAAATTAGGATCTGACTCGCAAGAGTTCCTTTAAGTTCTGATACCATAAAGTGTATAAGCTGCAGAATGAATAAAGAAGCTATCTTTATTAATGAGTAAGGAGCACTTTATATAGACCAGAGTTCAGTCAGAAAGATACAAAAGAATCTACGTAAAGATACATAAAGATAAGAGATATAAACCTAACAGACTCCTAAAATATAGGTTAACTGAATGATACAAAAAGATACAGATAAACTAGTTCAAAAAATCCTATGTTAACAGGAGACTAGTCAAGAGTCCTTTACTATTGTCAATCTTTCTATAACTTGGGGGGCATTATACTTTTCCTTGTCTTTTGGTTCTTTATTGTTGCACATGCGCTTTTAATTTTCATTTGCTGACTATTTAATTGAACAAAGTACCATTTTTTGAAAAAACACCATTTTGCCTTTTAGAGGAGTAAACACTGCGACACTGTAAAGGAAGACTTCTATTTGTTAGAGTCCTTCAGTCCCGCTTCTATATGTTTTTTTAAGACAAATTATACTTTTTCACAGGATGATATTCGCAAGGAAGCTCAAATAATGACTTTAATTGGCCATCGAAATCTAATAAAGGCATTCTGTTCATTCGTTGTTGATCACTATCTTTGGGTGGTGATGCCCTTCATGGCTGAGGGTTCTTGTCTACACCTCATGAAGATAGCATATCCTGATGGATTTGAAGAAGCTGTTATTGGTTCTATCTTGAAAGAAACTCTTAAGGCTTTGGAATATCTACATCTACATGGACACATTCATCGAGATGTTAAGGTTTTTTAAACTAAAGTTCCCTCCCGATGTTGATTCTTCAACTGGTGATATTTGTGTTTTTTTGGGGGTGATATTTGGTGTTATTTCAGGCAGGGAATATATTGCTGGACACTAATGGGGTAGTAAAGCTCGCCGACTTTGGGGTTTCTGCATGCATGTTTGACAGGGGTGATAGGCAACATTCTAGGAATACCTTTACAGGAACTCCATGCTGGTGAGTATATAAGCCTCTTACTGCTCGATTCTCCATCCATCTTTGTTTCTTTGAATGTTTTCGGTTTTTCTCAAAGTATTTCAACTGATTTTGTAGGATGGCACCTGAAGTTTTGCAGCCTGGAACTGGATATGATTACAAGTGAGTTTACTTGTCACTGTATAGAATCTTGTTGCTGAGCAAGCTCCGCACAAGTTTGTATACCTGGTTAAGATGTGATACTGAACTTTGATTAAAATATTTCATTTTGTTCTTGACTGAGCAGAACAATGCATGGATATTTCTACTAAAATATTTACTTATACATGGTAACAAAGAATAATTACCAGGACTAATTTACTTTTTGAGAGGCATGATTTGTTCATCGTCCTTCTACAGAGCTGACATTTGGTCACTTGGAATAACTGCCTTAGAGTTGGCTCATGGTCATGCACCATTTTCAAAGTACCCTCCAATGAAGGTTTATATTCATTAACCAAGAGTGTTAAAGAATAATACTAGCTATATGCTTGTGTTTACATTACATGAAATCGTTGGCCTTGGTTCTCCTGTGATAGGTTCTGCTCATGACCATAAATAGTGCTCCTCCTGGACTTGATTATGACCGTGATAAAAAATTCTCAAAGGTAATTTTTTTAGTTTGAACTGATTGATTTTGACGATGGATATATTTGGATGATCTTGCTCTAAAGGTGTGATGGTTTAACGTTTATGTTCTTTTCATGTATGAAATCCCAAACTTTTTGATTTTTTAATAGTCATTCAAGGAAATGGTTGCAATGTGCTTGTTGAAAGATCAAACTAAAAGGCCAACAGCTGAAAAGTTGTTGAGACATTCTTTTTTCAAAAATGTGAAGCCTCCAGAGATTTCTATAAAGAAACTGTTTGCCGGCTTACCACCACTTTGGAATCGAGAAAAAGCCCTCCAGGTATCTCATAATAGTTCTGTTTTAAGATTTTCCCTGTTTAGCATCATTTAATTTTTCCTTGATGAATATACTGCAGCTTAAAGATGCTGCACAGCTAGCCATGAAGAAAATGCCTTCATCCGAGCAGGAAGCAATATCACAGGTTTGAGGCAATTGTTAATAGATCGCATTTTTGTTGTGTAATGCTGTGCTCAACTTCCCCAAATAGGGGAGATCTGCTACTTCGCTGCTCGCTTTGCAAAACTCTGCTTAAGCTTTCCTTTAATACTTTGCTGCCTTTTACGGGTAGACCATCTTCAGTTTCCTGCGTCTATACTACGCTTGCTTTTAGACAAAAGGCCGAGAAAGGTACTCTTCAGTTTCCTGCATTTATTTGTGATCCAAAGCGCCTATGCTATACTTTTTCCATATGCTCTTGGCTGAAATGGTTTCATACGTGCATTCTGCCTAGGCTTAGGGCAATTCTTGACATGAAAGCAAAGAAATTTTCCTTTTTGGGGTGGTTTGCTTGAGCCTATTAGTAAATTTAGCTTAAAATTTCTTTATTTTCTCTACCAGTAGCACCTAAGATTGAAATAAACAGGACGGTTGACTCCTTTTATATTGTTCTGATCTAATATCTTGTATTCTCTTTCCAGAGTGAATACAAACGAGGTGTTAGTGCCTGGAACTTTGATCTGGAAGATTTAAAGTTTCAAGCTTCAATGGTATGTACATGAGAAGACATCTATAAAGTGATGTAGATAATTTCAACTTGTTCTTATGTTTTTCATGACCCAAGTAAGACAGAATTCTCTTTCACCGTGGCAGGTGCAAGATGATGACGAAATACCGGAGATTAGGGAAGAAGATGAAAGCATGAAATCTTATACGAGCTACAAGGTCCTTACAATGTTATTGTAAACAGTTTTTGAGTTATATTTTTACCTTTTGCTTATCAGAAAAGGTTTTGAGTTATATTTCAAGTTACCATTTGCATTGGATAATAATACATGCTATTATTATACAGGAGAATTTGGTTTCTGCACTCAATGATGGAAAACCTTCCTTAAAACAAGATACTCTTTCCAGGTACAGACGACACTATTTCTTTTCAGTGACTGTAGAAAATACCATTTTATCTACTCCAGGTTACACAGTTAGGCGGGGATCCAGGGACAAAGAAGTACAACACAGTTAACTTGTAATTTACAAAGCGTAGAAGAAATACCAAGTTACTTTTTGACGTTTTTGTAGCATTAATTTGCAATGAGGAAAGCTGACCATGGTTTGAACTTCAAGTATTAATCAGCTTGAGTTCTTTAAGCTTAATAAAATGAAGCCATAAATGATGTGTGTTTTAATCAAAAGTTTGTCATAAGGGTTTATATCTGCGAATGCCGACAATAGTTATTTTTCTCAAAGGTAGCATGACAATCTGTCTCCAGGAGAAAATGTAAAAAAAGATTTTGTTATTAACATCAAAGTATGATAGATTGGGTATCATGTGAGAAACTATACCATTCGCTTTATGTATCTTAAGTATTATCATCTCAATCAAATTTTATTGATTTTTCCCTCAATACTTTATATTTCCAGTGAGCAAGAAGGTGTTAGTGAAGTGATATTAGCTGAATGCCAGAGAAAGAATGATTTGGAATGTAATGAACTGGATTCAGACCATCAGGAGAAAGGTCGACTGAAGAAAAATTCATCAAAAACAGAGCTGCCACCCCTTACTTCAGACAAAGATGCAGTACAGGCCAAGAGTAGAAGTCAAACACCAAAAACTCATCAAAGTGTGAGTGGAGCGCTTATGCCAGGTGTTATCCTAAGTCATTCGGCGTCAGAAAGAGCTCACAATTTTGAAAGGTCTTACAGAAGTTATTGTTTTGTTCTATCTGCTGTTTCCTGTGTTGCACCAAAGCAATTTGAAATCTGAGGATTCAGTAACAAAATAGCCATTTCCTTCAGTTCATTAATCAGCTGTTATGTCGACAGAAATTGATCAAAACTTCCTTGTGCGTGAAGATTTTGGAACCATATGCTTAAAATTGGTCTCTTTACCATCTTTGTGGCTGGTTATCCATTTCTTTTTCAGATCATTATTTATTTTGAACAATTAGAATGCTAACAGACAAATAATTGTCATTGACATGTTTAGCGCTTTAGTAACTTCTTATCAAGACTGACCTTGAGACTAGGGATTAGTTCAATATGGTGTTATTTGTTGTGTTTAATAGTTTGTGCACACCGAAGTATGATAAAATTGTTAATTTGTTGGCCCAATGGTATTATATGTTTTTTATTTGTTTTATTGCTACATGTTATCTAAATACAAACTTTGCCGCATGTAACTTAAGTTTCTGTTGTAGAAGCAAGATTGAAAATCAACAAGCTGAAAAAGCTCATCAAGTACGAAGAGCCCCCAGCTTTAGTGGCCCTTTAACACTTCCAAACCGAGCTTCAGCAAATAGTAAATCAGCTCCAATTAACTCATCTGGGGGTATTAACACATTCCCTACAAGTTCTTTAACTAAAATTGTTTTGACTATGTTTTATAGGAATAGTCATGCTGAAGCTGGATTTTGCTTTACGCTAATAGTAATTCTTCTCTCTCTCCAGGATTAAAAGATTCTTTGGATGACAAATCAGTGATAAACTTGGTTCAAATAAAAGGGAGGTTTTCCGTAACCTCAGAAAACGTCGATCTTGTTAAGGTACATCATTTCTTTTAAATTCTCTCCCTTTTTGGTGACAATTTTCTTACCTAAATATGTATGCTGGGATATTGCGTTATGTACCTTTCCTTGACATTTTTCTCAAGTAAGCTGTTCAGTGTTGCCTTATATTTCAGCATAAGACAATGTATGTCCTGTACTATCTTTGACATAAGATTCATGTGATACCCAGGGGTCACAACTGAGGAAGGCTGCTAGTGTTGGAGACTGGATATTGGATTCCAAACTGATGGTTAGTGAATTGGTCCCTTCTTTGGTACCACAATTAAATGATTTGAAAACTAAAAAACCTCCTTGCCCCACATTAAAGCTCCACTTCTTAGACAAGTTAAAATGAAAATGAAGAAAAAAAAAATTAATGGATCTAATGGTAAGATATTGCTCATCAATTTTCAGCCTCCCGGTCAACTATCAAAGGAGCTTGGCCATGATAATGTTCCAGCCTCAGTTCTGATGCCTCACCTACAAAATCTTTTTCAACAGACATCAATACAACAGGTAATGTTTCAAGTTTATGGTAGGAACTTAAGACTACTACTTCATGCGCCATCTATTTTTCTTGTTGTTCTAATCTCTCCCTGTTGAAAAGAGAACCACTCCTTATTTCTACTGTTTTTCTATTACTAGGATCTAATTATGAATCTGTTGAGTAGCTTGCAACTATCTGAGGCAGGAGATGGTGAGTAAACATCTAATGACATGTCTAGTCTTATTACGTAGAGAACATGTGTTCTTAATGGTAACATGGTTTCTGGAATATTTTGAATTTCTTGGTTTCTCTCAGCTTCGCAACATGGAAAGTTGTCTTCTCCGCAGCGTATTCCAGAGAATAATGGAAGTGTAAGTACACTGTTTTTGCATTTACAATATGATTTTTATTCTGGAAAACATATGCCTTTTAAAAATGAAATACTGAAATTGATTTCTTTTAAGTTCATTGTGCTCATGTTCACGGTTTTCCTTCTCATGTGATGATACAGCAACACTATCCGCTAGTTAGTTTTCTAGCTAAAAACTTTGTTTTCTCATATAATGAACTAGAGATGCCTTATCTCATACTTTTGAACTTTACTCCAGCGATTATACCTGTCAACAGTAACACTGAGCTCCTAAATAGTTTGGAGGAATTTCTTTGTACCTACAATCTTTACAATTCAATGCAATGAACCACCTGATAATTGGTCATGTGCAAC